CACAAAGACAAAAACAGACTAAAAGTTAAAGAATGGGGAAAAAAATACACTAAGCTAATTGCAATATAAAATGAGCAGGAGTGGCAATAGTAATCTCTGATAAAATAATCTTTAAGGTAAAAGCCAGCATAATAGATAAAGATGGGCATTATCTCATGATTGAAAGAGCTCCAAAATATATAAAGCAAATTCTAATAGTTTTGAAGAACGAAATAGACAAATCTACAATAATAGTGGGAAATTTTTAAACAACACTTTCGAAAAGGGATAGAACACCAGAAAGAAACTCAATAAAAACACAGAGGAACTAAACAACACAATCTGCCAACTGGACCTCATAGATGTGTACAGAGCCTTTAACCCAACAACTGCACAATACACATTCGTTTCCAGTGCACATGGAACATTCTCCAGAATAGACCATGTGTTAGGCCACAAAACAAGCCTCCATAAATTTAAAAACATCAAAATACTACAAAGCATCTTCTCAGACCACAATGCTATAAAATTAGAGATCAACAATAGGAAGACCAAGAAATAAAATCAAATACATGGAAACTGGATAACACCCTGCTTAAAAGCTACTGGGTAGTGGAAGTAATAAAACATGAATTCACAAAGTTCCTAGAAACAAATGAGAACAAAAACACAACATACCGGCTCGGCTTCATCCGGTCCTACTCAAGCCCTGGGTCTCCTCGCGTTACCGCCAGCATGAAGCCGATTCTACTGCAAGGCCATGAGCGGTCCATTACGCAGATCAAGTACAACCGCGAGGGAGACCTCCTGTTCACCGTGGCCAAGGACCCTACTGTCAACGTATGGTACTCCATGAATGGGGAGAGGCTGGGCACCTACAATGGCCACACTAGAGCTGTGTGGTGTGTGGACGCAGACTGGGACACCAAGCATTGTTCTCACCGGCTCAGCTGACAACAGCTGTCGTCTCTGGGACTGTGAAACAGGGAAGCAGCTGGCCCTACTCAAAACCAACTCCGCTGTCCGGACCTGTGGCTTTGACTTTGGGGGTAACATCATTATGTTCTCCACGGACAAGCAGATGGGCTATCAGTGCTTTGTGAACTTCTTCGACCTACGGGAC